ATGGGCGTACGGGCTCGGCGGCGCCGGCGCAGCGACCCCTGGTGGACGCCGCGCCTCGGAGGACCGCCCCGGCGGGCTGTGCCGTGCCGCTCGCTCGGCAGCGTGTTCCGTGTGCTGCTAAGAGAGCTCGTTATGAGGCAGCGCGGCTGCGGAAACAGCGCTCTTGAGGGGTAATAAGATGACCCACGCGCCGAAGGAAGAAGTTCCGTGGCACACCTGTTTCAGTGAGTTTGTACACGTGCACCTGGATGCTCGTGGATATACATGCTGTGCAAAGTTAGAAACAGCAACTCTTTTCCCGTCCTCCCTTCACTGTTACTGTTGGGCACGTCAGCCCTGCCGCACGCGAGGTGATTCTGCCTCCTGCCGCCAGGCTGCCGGGTTGTGCTGGTGCAATTAGAAGCAGCAGGTACCGATGGTTTCAAGGCCTGAAGTGGTGTTAGGTGTCGACTCGGAGTGTACTGTTGACATTTGGAAGAAGTTACAGTTGCATTTACTAGTTTAAATTACTTGTAAACCGGGCGTGGTGGCACACGCCTGTAATCCCAGCACTCGGGAGGCTGAGGCAGGAGAATCTTGCGAGTTTGAGACCAGCCTGGGCTACAAAGTGAGCTCAAGGCCAGCCTGAAAAAAAACCCACAAAGTGCCCCAAGCAACGTCTGGCACACCGTAGGTGCTTAACTGTAAACTCCTGCAGTGAAAGTCACCCAGTCTGGGCATGGTGGCACATGCCCTAATCCCCACACTGGGGAGATCAAGGAAGGGGGATCCTGAGTTGCAGGCCAATTTAGGCTTAAATAAACTCAAGATCAGAAGGTCCTGTTTCATAAAATCCAAGTAGATGAGGACTGGTTCATTGGAACGAACCCAGAAGAGAACACACAGCGGACCGATGGGCAGGGCAAGGGCTACCTCTCCAAGGCTCTCGTGCCTGAAATTTGGACCTAACCCTGACAGCACAGGAGACAGAATAATCCTAAGCAGGGAAGCGACCCGCCAGGCGTTCCTACCCAAACATCTCTCCAGCAGCCTGCGGGCAGGGGGAGGGGGTGACCGGCCGCACCCCGGGAGACACTGCTGGGGAGGCCTCCCTCCCGGAGGCAGCGGGCGTGCGAACCGCCCTAAGCTGTCAGGCGAGCAGAGCTCGCAGGCAGAGCAACGCCGTACCCGCGCGACGCTGGCGATCGCCGCCCGCTCGCGCGCCCGTCGCCGCCCCGCAGGACCAGGACGCCGGCGCCGGCGCCGCGAGGTGCGCCCGCGACAAGGAAGCCTCCCTCCCGCAGACCTTGGGACAAGGTCGGTGCCCCGCGCCTGCCCGCCCCGCGCGCCGCGCACCTTCCAGGCCCCCAAGGTCAGAAGAAACTGGACACCCACGC